CTGCTGATCAATCGCACATCATGCTGAGTGACTGCAGCCAGCTGAATTCTTGTGTTTATGTTTGGCCACCTGCTTTTTCTTCTGAAATTATAACAAAAAGAAAGATTACTCATATAACAGAGTGCAGAAGATGCCTTTTTGTTACGATTAATTCTGAAATGTAAACCCACTGAGCATAAGCAATCTGATACTATAGAGGTGTTGGTAAATTTGTATCTGTTGTGGGACTACCTGAGTCTTCTTTAATGGGTTGTCACTTCAAGTATGTTGCAGCCAGTGCAAGTATAAAGCAAAATCTCTGGTGCTGTGAGACTCCACCTTTGGCAGTGACTTTAGAAGTGTTGCTGTTCCTCTCGGCTGCTACACCATTGTTGTGAGCTGGGTTCCAGCTTTCTGGGACTGCAAGATAAATTAGGCTGGATTTGGAAGCAATTTATTTTATTGAGCAGTTGCTAACTTTAAAGGTTCCATTTGTTCTTGTATTGGTGTGTCTCCCGGCATGTGTAGTCCAGATTTTGAAAAAGACATGATTTTATGGGACCTGATACGTGACAGGAGAATTGGTAACTTAGTTTTGAATAGAAACTCTTCTCGCAAATTTTTGAGCCATTCAGAGAACAGAGTAGGATGTTGATTTTCAGGCATCAGTAGATCAGATCCTGCCATGTCCCCAGCATTTAGTAACTATTTGAGTTTCACTGAAAAAGCTGTAAGATTAAATGTGTACATTTCTGCTAGTTTTAGATAATTCATGATGAACTTTTGTTGACTAAACCACTTGGAAGCAGGCATCTTAGCCACATAATATTTAAAAGTAATATTTGGGGAATTGGATTGCCTTCTCATCAGGTTGATGTCACGCTGCTTAACTGGGAAACACTAACTTGGCAAACTGCGTGGCTCCCCCTGATCCGTTTTAAAGACGTTTAAGCCGTGGATTTCCATGTTGTTATGCATATGAACGTGGGGTCGAGTAGCTCTGATCCCTATAGCTGTGGACTTAATTTGAGCAATACCTCTTTAAGTATTTATCATTTTGAGCCTGTAGGGAGGAGTGTGGGAGATGTTAGATGGGCCTGTCAGCTTGCACGAAAAACTGAAGTTACATAGTTTCTGGTGCAGCTTCTACTCACTTAACAAATTGCTCTTAATGACTATAAAAAAAAGGCCCCCCCTTCTGCCCTTCCCTGCAGCCTGGGGAAAAAAGTGGTTTGTTCTGCACAACCCTGTAGAAAATAATTTATTAGCGAGATCCAGCCTTGGTATCGCTTTGCCGCGTGCACACATTCCTGTCTGAGAGAACCTGCGCCTTTGGTTAAAAGTAAGTTTCTGGTCTGAGAGGGGAACACCGCACACCTGGAACCTGACCCCGAAAGGGCTCAACGTCAGTGGACCACTCGAGGCTTTGGTAGCTGGGGCTTTCTGCTGGACACAGGAAGATGTTTTTGAAGTTGCTTTCCCCTTTGAACATGGCCTTGTTGCTGCATGGGAAGACTGCACTGTGACTAACTCCAATAAGAGCCTAATTTGATTAGCAGTTGAAGTTAATTAAGATGATTGTGCAGCTCACCTCTTATAATTAATTCCTTGTAGTTGTCATTGTGTGCTATTTTGTCAGTTCATTATGAGCCTTGAAAACTTGGGGGTATGTATTCCTTTACTTACTCAACTGACTTGTTATCACTAATTGATATTTATGTAAAACATTGATTAGTCTTTTCCATTAAAAAATAATTGCAACCAAAGGGTGTGGTACTTCTTTGCAAGACAGTTCACAAAAAGTGCTGAGGCATGTTGCCTGCTTAACTTGTTTGGAAGCTGCTGCAGCTGTGCTTCTGTCCCTGCTCTGTTTGCGTGTTCCAGTGCTTGCTTTCACCACCACCACCGGCATTTCCCGCCGCCCTGGCAGCAGGTACACGGCTGATGGGTAACTCCTGCCAGCTCTGCACTGCAGCAGGAGCCCCTGGACATGTCTGATTGCCCCGGCCTTTACTCAGCTGCTGGGGCGAGTACCGATTTAGACAATGATGTTTGTTTCTTACCACTCTCAAATACTTCAGGAGGATTTATGGATGTTAGTACATCTCTGGTCTGGCTGCACAACTGGAATTTAGTTCTTCTCTGGCTCTTCTGCCTCCCTGCATGTTTTGTTCCTCCTTTGAGGGTTCTCCATGCCTTTAAACTGGTGGAAGTGACTTAATCCAGACTGCATTGTACCATTAGAGAACGTTCTCGTGCGGCAGCGCGCAGCTGGGCCCAGTACCTTGGATTTCATGTGTGGGTGCGCATACGCAGCGTTTTTCTAAATGGACTAGAGATTCTTAGCAGCCACGTGCAGAGCCCCTGAACGTGTACCTTGGATGTTTAGCTTTCAAAGACAGGGAGAAAAAATACTTCAGGTCTTCCAAAGACAAGGAAGGCAGAGTAGCTGGAGCAGAGAATGCCATTTGTGGCTTCTCAAGTATTTGGAGACCTTTCTTTGAACAATGTGAGATTTATCAGATTGTACTGAGGGATGGGGTCCTCTCCAAAATGCTTAATTCCACTTCTCTCCCTCCCTGTGGAGGTGGAGCAGTTACCTCCCACTCCTCCCTTTGCTGAGTTCCCCTGACAGACCAATGCTCCCAACTTGCTTCCGTGCAAAATAACGGAAAGGCTTTGCTGAGTGTAGGCGCTGGTGAAAGAAGGGAGCTCTGTGTCTAACTGCAGGTGGAGCCTCCTCACAAGTGGAGAGTGCTGGCCAACGCCTGTCCCTCCCTGGCAGGGCTGCAGGCACAAGGGAAGTGCCCCAGCCTGCGGGCGGGGAGAGGCCGGCGCTGGGTGGGCTGTTCCTCTGCAGACAGGCCAGTCAAGAAAGCCAACTGCCCTTTCCTCTGGGGAAACCCTTCACAAGGGTGCGAGTCAACCCCACCCACCGCAGAGCCTTGCAGAGGGGGGGGCGGCAGAGGCCTCCTTCCCTCACCAGTACCCACCCGGGGCACAGCCCACTCAAACCTGCTGCGGTGCCAGCCTGGCAGTGGAGCTCGCAGGACAGGAGAGAGGGCTGGGGCAGGGGAGACACCCGAGAACATTGACCAGCACTAACGATGCTGTGGAAGTACCAAAAAAGGCTGGAGTACCCTGGGTGTCATTGTGGTGCCTGGCATTCAGTAGCAGAGCCCAATGCCCACAGATTATACAAAGCTCCATTTAAACCATCCCAATTTCCTAACCATCCAGAATTTATTATGCACAGGGGTAACATGCTGTCAAAGCATACAAAAAGGATTCCCCCCCCCTCCTTTTTCACTCCCAGGTTAGGTCAGAGGAAAGAAGCTATGAACACGATCATTTCTTCTGCCCAAGCGTACATTTCCTTGCTGTTTTCAGAAGCAGCTTCTGTTTTGTGGAGGAAGCTGGAGATTCCTACCACATGACCAGTCATTTTTAAACAAATTCCCCCAACCGTAAAAGAAGTCACCTGCTGACAGAAAATGGTAAAACTGCCTTTCTCTGTTCCAAAGACAACACAAAAGCAGCTTTACAAGATTCAAAAAACCTTTCATGATACCTGCTGTCTCCGACTCCCTCACTTGCTGCCACGGCATGGAAAACTCTTGGATCTCTCCATCAGCAACCCTAGATGCCATGACTAGCATGGCAAAGGATCCAACACTGTGCTTCAAGAGGGCCAAGGTTACATAATACTGCATGGGAGGACGAGAACTTGCTTGTCAAACCCTGTTTGCAACTTGATTTTACTTCCTCTTATTCCTACTGAACTCGGATAGACCTTTTGTCACAGGTTTAAGCAGCTACTTTATATTGATTGTTCACCATTAAACTGAGCACAGCAGTAAGTCTTGACGGAACATCATAAAGATGTTCCCTGTATTCCATACTGATATTTCACCTCCCCCTCTGCTGCCTCTGTGCTGGCTGTATTTCACAGCTCAAGCTATGGATCATTCCATCTACAAATGGGTTAGGAACCAAAGCTTTTAGTAGCCCTAGAAACACAGCTATTTCAGACAAATGCACCCAGCTCTGCCCCTGAGGTGAGCAATTCCAGGAAATCTGAGGTTACTGCAGACCAGGTAACATGCTAAGTTGTCTCCGGAGTCAGCCTATCCTTAAGGTCGTGGCAACTCTCAACTTACAAAAGCTTGTTCCTACATTATCTCCAGTGTACCTAAAGGAGGAAAGACATTTGTTAAGCTTCACAGCTTTCTCACTTCAGTTAGGGGCAGAGAGCTCCTGGGTCATATTTCAGTCCTGAAAAAGCCTCCAGAAAACCTAAAAGATACATTGCAAAGTTCCTGACACTTAAAAGCAACCCTCATGCACCATGAGCCCCCAAAGCAGCTATCAGTCCTGCATCCAGCACTGTCAAGCGTGCACGACTGTAAGTCCTATTGACGGTGACCAAGGAACATGGATGAGGCGGGAACTCACTGATGCCAATGGGGAGAAAAAAAGCAGCTCA